ATAGTTCAATGAGTTTTTTTCAAGCACCTACTAGGCTGGGCCCATCAATCTGTCATTAAATTTACTCATTAAGTCCCATTTTTCTCAAACATCAACAAAACAGTATGCTTCATTAAATAAACTTTATGATTAACTTCCGCCTTCTAAGAATGAATACATGCACCAACCCATCTAGAAACTCAGTCCCTAAACTCTGTTTCTCATAAGCTGTGGGGCACCCCTGTCTATGACAAAGGTTCACAAATTCATCAATACTACAGTAAAACTTGGTTGAAACCAGTGGTTCACAAAAGAGCTCCTTTTATGATTTTCCTTTTACCAGGAATTCCTGTAATATCAACCACTATCTAAGAGGGAATGTGTTTTTTCTGCTGCTAAAGACAGATGGAGAACATTGATCACTGGGGCCTGGGGTCTCCATTTGCCACACAAATGGTTTTAGAAGAGTTGTGAACCTGCAGGGTTTTTTGTTTGTTTTTCTGAGACAGAATCTTGCTCTGTCACCCAGGCTGGAGTGTAGTGGTGTGATCTCAGCTCACTGAAATCTCTGCCTCCCAGGTTCAATCAGTTCTCCTGCCTCAGCTTCCCAAGTAGCTGGGATTACAGGCATGCACCACCACACCTGGCTAATGTTTTTTTTTAGTAGAGACAGGGCTTCACCATGTTGGCCAGGCTGGTCTCGAACTCCTGAACTCAAGTGATCTGCCTGCCTCGACTTCCCAAAGTGCTGGGATTACAGGCGTGAGCCACTGTGCCAGGCTGATCCTTCAGTTTTGATAACCATTTGTAACTCATTGCATAGATGAGAACAGACTGGAAGCCAAATGCTCTATTTATAGAATCTTGTGCAATATAAAGTCTTCCCAGCATTGCTTTCCAAAATGGCATTCTCTAAAGAGGGGAAAAAGAATATTGCTTTTGAAAGTTGCCTTTTGTAGAGTACATCTGGGTAATTATTTTACATATCAGAAAATCTAAATGATGAATAGAGGCCTACAATGTTATGAAACAGAGGATATGTTTAGAATAAACATATGGATTGATAAGGATGATTCACTTAAGAGGGACTGTCAGGTCATTCAGATCTGGGGACACCCTGCAAAATTCTAAAGAGGGAAAATGCCAGACTGGGTCTGCTCCCTCAGTTAGGCTCAGCTGCAACAGTTCTAGGGGTTGCATTTTATCTATTTCTTGAATCAGGAACTGTTTACTTTTTCCTGGGACATTCTCATTAGGAAGAGAATGGCTTCTCATATTCCAACGAGGTTAGTGTCAGTGTTTTGTTTAAAAATTTACTAAACATGGCTGGGTGCAGTGGTTCACGCCTGTAATCCCAACACTTTGGGAGGCAGAGGTAGGTGGATCATTTGAGGTCAGGACTTCAAGACCAGCCTGACCAATATGGTGAAACCCTACTTCTACTAAAAATACAAAAAGTTAGCTGGGTATGGTGGTGCACACCTGTAATCCCAGCTTCTTGGGAGACTGAGGCACGAGAATTACTTGAACCCTGGAAGCAGAGTTGTAGTGAGCCAAGATTGTGCATTGCACTCCAGCCTGGACAACAGAGTGGGACTGTTTTAAAGAAAAAAAAGGGATAAAAATTATTAAACAATCTTTACAAAGATATAAGGGGACTAGAGCATACAATTCTAGAGCAGCAAAACAAAGATACAACAGGGCTAGGGCATCAAATCCAAGTTAATACACAAAGTATATTAACAAAATAAACAAACAGGGTTAAATGGATGACTCTGCTCCCAAGGATTTTCTGTTAGGCCCACAGTGTGGTTTCCCTGTTTAAGATACAAGCAGAAAAGGGCTGACAAGCAGAGCCCGGTGGATGCCAGAGCTGTGGCACAAGGCATGATGCATGCATTATTGTTGAAGGGGGATTTAGTCTCACATTCATAGAAAGAAACAAAGACTGTCCAAAATCTGCCAGGGGGAGAGCACAAATATATGTCACAAATAACAACCCTGGAGCTGAAAGTGAGGAACAAAAAGCAAAGAGGCCGACATGAGCCACAGTGCAGCCATGGTCTCTCTAGAAAGTGAGTTGGTTGGGTTGTGCAATGGGGCTAAACACTGCATCCACCAATTGCCAGCTTTGCTTCCCTTTCTAGAAAAGACACCCTCTCTCTGACTCCTTTCCATTGCCCTGGCATCTTCTATTCCTAAGGACCTGGTGAGAGTTGTCACCTTCCCAGCTAATATCTAGTGAACTTTCAAGTGAAGCCAACATCTTTAATTACTGGGTAGGATAGTTGGCTGGACACATGGCATGTCTCTTTCTCAGGACTCATTCCACCGGAACTCTCCAAAGAACTTTTACTTAATTCAGTGGGAGCACTTGAATTTATGCCCCATTAAAGTTCCCCTTTGAAAATTACAAGCTGAAGCCACATCTAACAACTATGATGTTCTCTGGATCCCACGCACATCCTAAAAATGGAAAATTCATTTCATGGTCACAGAACCAATAAAAAATATGACTTCATTTGAAATGCCCAAATTTTTTAAAAAAACAAAATTAAATGGTTTCAGGTGTTTATAAAAGTCTTTATGTGTATAGCATTCTACCAATACTGGACACACTCTGAAAAGATTCTCCTATGTCATAAGAAATTACAGTTTAGACTGGAGGCCAATTTTTTTTTTCTTCTGTGAGATTTGCTTTTAGTTTCAAATTTAGCATATTTGTTTTAGTGCCAAGGTCAAAGTTAGACCTCTTAATATTTATGTTCTTACTCATCTTTCATTAGCCACAGAAAAAACAAGTGACGCTAGTGTCCTACCTCTAGACTTGGTTACATAAATGACCTGGGTGTGACCATCTCGGATGAGTCCATAAGTCAGTCAACCAACATAAGACCCCACTGAGGACCCAAGTTCAATAGGAAAAGCTCATGCAGACATGTTTTTATTGAAGATCAGAGTCCCAACCTTCAAGTAACATGAAATACATAGCTGAGTTAAGACATCCCTAGGTTTCAGGAGTACTTGCTTGGAGGGGTGACCCCTTACTTTTTTACCTGGCTTTTGATGGCCATCCTTAGGGAAGTGCTGACATAAACACAAGGGCCAAGGACCCTGACTCCACCATTAAGTTCCCCAAATAGTCTACAACCTTTAGTGCAGACAGGAATCTCTGGGCTTATGCCTGATGGTCCCCAGAGTATCCTGTAAGGAGCAGGTCTAAGTCCAGACCTGTAGCTGCTGAGGAACTTTCATGCCCTGCAACAAAGGGCCAGAGGTGGATCCTCTCTCAGGAAAGCTTTGCAGCAATGAAAACTCTTTATGGACAGCTAAGCATGGAGTTGGCACAAACTGCTGCCTGACACTCAGGGCTGTCCATGCCCTGGTGCCAGCCTTTCAGCCACCACTGCCCTTCCTGTACCCTATTCAGCCCTATTCAACTGCCCAACAGAACTCCTTATTTTCCCTCTTAGGTGTTAAAGCTGTCCCAGCTTCCAGCTGTTGCTCATGCTGTTCTGTCTGGAATATTCTTCTTTCTCATCTTGCTATTCTTCCAATTCATGTACATTTTCTAAATGTATTTAAAATGTCATAATCTCCATGGAGGCTCCTCTCATTCATCCCCCCAACTAGAAGTTTCTCTGTCTCCTCTGAATTCTCCACATATTCTCTCTCTTTCTGTTTCCTATTGCTACCTTTTAACTTGTATAGCAGTCATTTGTTTTCATCTATTACCTTCCCTGTAAAACTAAGAAGTACGAGGGCCTAGAGTCCAGGTTTTCTTGATGATTGTGTTTCTAGCATCTAGCCCAGTAATTCCATCGTTTTTAAAAACCAGGTTCTGCTCAGCCCCGGGATTCCAAAGACATGACCTGTTTCCAAAGAGGGGCAGAGAGTGGACAGGGACCTGGGGAAGACCCCTTCCCCACAATCTGTGCTTCGGTCAGGTAGGTTTTCATTTGAACTCTTCTATATATTGGGATTCATGTAATTTTTTAAAAAGGGATTCTTCTAGAGATAGAAAAAAGGAAGCCACTGTAATAGATACTGTCAAATAAATGAATAGAATTGCACTCAATACCTCTAGCCCTTTCTCCCTCAGGGATAATGAAATTTCAGTGATAAAAAATGAGTGGCAAAGGTTCAGAGTGGCTGTCAATCGAAGAACATGGTCAAAATCGAGGGCCCTCCCTTTCTCTTATTCTGTACAGAACTATACCGAAATTTTAGTTTTATATTAAAATCAAGCTCTGAATGAGTTATGTTTAAGGTGTTAAACAGAACTATCCTGGCACCTGGTTCTGGTGCATGTGTGTGTGTGTACATTAGCACATCCACTATGCTTTGTTCTCAGTGTAACTTCAGGGATATAGAAGAGAGTTATAAATGAGGCTAATGCCTCTTGATTTTCCTCTGCTTCTCCTCTCACCACCAAATAAACTTACTCCTCCTTCAGTCTTCCCCATGAATGGATATTAGTGTCATTTACTAATACCCATTCTGGGGATATTAGTAAATGACACTAATATCCATTCTACTGCTCAGGCTAAAAATCTAGGAGTTTTCTTTGATTTCTCTCATTCCTTCATGCCCGACATCCAATTCACAAGTAATATTGTTGAGTTTACCTGTGAAACACAGTCTGAAGCAGCCATCTCTCTCTGCCAGCCACTATGAGCTGCCATGGTTTAGGGCCTCACCACCACACATCTATGTTACTGCAGTCACCTCTTCTCTGCCTCCCACGTTTCACTGTCTCCTCCCTATAATACATTCTCCAGGCAGCAGCAAAAGTCATGTTTAAAATCCTCCAAGAGGTTCTCATTAGATAGAGTAAAACTCAAACTCCTAACTGGTCAAAAATAATCAAGCTAACACATATATCTCACTTCAAACTAAACAAATTTGCTCACTCTGATAATCTTAGATTGGGGTGTTTTCCTTTAAGAAAACAAATTAGTGGATGACTGAGCAGAGAGACAGAAAAACTGACACCACACTCAAAAACAGAAATGACTTACGGCTTCAGATTTGGGAGGCACTGGAGGTGGAGGTAGGGCAGTATCTGAAGACTTCATTGCTGCTCCCAGAGTCCCAGGGATGGGAAGAGGAGAAGTTGCACATTTGGATCGAACAGAACCTCTAAACTGATCACATCTGCTCTTCTCGCTCAGGGAGCGAGTGAGAGGCTGATGGCTGGGCTTGCCTTCCTCCAGCCACAGCTCTTCATAGGGAAGTTCTGACTTTCCTGGGATGCCTGCTGATTCTTCATTAGCTTCCGGAAAAAGGTAGTCGCTCCCACTATCACCAGAGTCCTGATAGGGCAGGATGTCATGAGCAAAGGGGGCCCAATCTCCTCCCAGGTCCCTGCAACCATGAAGGTTCACCTCGCTGTTGCCATGGAGATTGTTGCCATACACACAGACCGAGAGTCGGTGGAAGGACTGGGTGAGCTCATCGCGGGCATAGCTGAGGGAGTTGGGCACGTGGTTGTGGCTAGAGCACCGGCCCTTCTTGGGGCTCTTGCAGTCCTCATTCCAGTCGGTTTTCACATCACGGACAGCCCGTGAATACTCATCGATGTCGAACTGTTCTTGGCAGATACCTAGCCAGTGATGGACCAGGGTTTCGGGCCATCCCTCTCCCTTCACCAGGTGTTCTGGGAGGCTGAACTTGGGGACAGTCAAGTGCAAAGGAAAGTGCATGGGGAGGATCTTGTTGTTCCGCAGCACACAGCAAACCACCACCGTCTTGGTCTGGATGTTCACAAACTTGTAGCGGTGTCCCTCACGGATGAAGTGGAGGTCGTACGGGTTTCTCGGCGGAGGGCTTGGCACAGTCACATTCACAGGAAGCCTGGTCTTCTCCACAATGTTGCGGATGGTGTGTTCGCCCTCTTGCATCTGAAGTTCCAGGGGACTCCGGGTGCTAAATCTGCCCTTGCACTGGAATGGAAGGCTAATGCTTTCATTGGTCCGGTGATTCATGCAAATGAGGCATGGCATTTTGCCTTTTCCCAGCTTGCTGATGGAATTGAGCTTCCCAATCTTTTTGAAGATTGTATTGAGTCGTGACTTTTCCTTGAATGTCTTTGCATAAAGGATTTCTGCCTGCCCCATTAGAGTGAGTTCATCCCCAGTACACAGGGTGATGTTGTAAACTTCAGTGTCTTCATTGCATTCACCTGAAGCAACCTACAATATAATAAGTCACATTTTAGGTTCATTTCCTTTGATCTATTAATGCAAAGAAGAACTTACTATTAAGACACACACAAGCCAGGCACGGTGGCTCACACCTGTAATCCCAGCACTTCAGGAGGCTGAGGTGGGCAGAACACCTGAGGTCAGGTGTTCGAGACTAGCCTAGCCAACATGGTGAAACTCCATCTCTACTAAAAATAGAAAAATTAGCTGAGTGTGGTGGCGGGCACCTGTAATCCCAGCTACTCAGGAAGCTGAGGCAGAAGAATTGCTTGAACCGCAAGGCAAAAGTTGCAGTGAGCTGAGATTATGCCACTGCACTTCAGCCTGGTAAGACTCCATCTCAAAAAAAAAAAAAAAAAAAAAAAAAAGACACACACAAATACACACACAGAGGAAAATGCTATGCTTTTCTTTAATACTAAATTTAGGTACTTCATTTCTTTTATTATACTTATGTGGTTAACAATAACTACTTTTTGTTCAAGATGATGATTTAGAATTTTATAAACATCTCTTTTCTCTCTCTATACGCAGAGTAGTCTATCATATGGATATTAACAGGGGCATTATCATTTTTTCTTTTTCAGTTATAAATAATCTTTTCATGAACACAATGTAGAAAAATCCTTAAATTTTTAAAATTTGAAATTGAAACAACTTAAAAATGTGGTATTTCTCCATTTAAAAAATTATACACCCATTATTTATGTTAATTGGAAGAAATATTAGAAAACAGAAATATAAAAATAAAAAACGTATCTGTAAAATTTAATATAAACAGAAAAAAGAAATGGACTTGATCTAGCTGTCTCAGGGATACATATAGATACAGATATACACAATTCTGTTACCTGAGTTTCTAACTATAATCTACCCATTTCCCTGGGGCATATACTTCATCAATAGTAATACTAACCTAAGGTATTCCATTTTGTATGAATGTGCATTAATTTATTTGACTAGTTCCTTCCTGTTAGATAAAAATATAGATAGGCTTTCCCATTGTATAGCAATTATAAATAGTACTGCAATGAGCTTTTTACAGCTCAATTATTCCCTTAGGATAAAGTACCAGAAAAACTGCAGGGACAAAAGCTATTCATGTATTTTTGTTTTGTTTTTTAAGACAGGATCTTGCTCTGCTGCCCATGCTGGAGTGCAGTGGCTTGATGACAGCTCACTGCAGCCTTGACCTCCCAGGCTTAAGGAATCCTCTCACAGCCTCCCAAGTAGCTGAGACTACAGGTATTAGCCACCACACCTGACTAATATGCATATATTTGAAAGTTCTAATATGCACTACCCATTGTGCTTTCCTCAACACTATACTTGTTTACACTTTTATCACTTTATAAAATTATGTCTCCCTATACTCACACTAAAGTTTATTTCATGTTTACCAGTATGAGAGGTAAAGTATGAATACTGAATTTATTCTTTTATTAATTTTAAATATATTAATTGGTATATTCATTTTTTAGTATTTATCTGATTTAGATCTCTTACTGATTACTTTTTATGTAATGAAAATGTAATGTCATTTATGCTATGTATTTTTCCATTTGTGGTTTGAATTACAATTTTATAGCTTAACTATTAAAGTTGTTTTTTAAAAAAGCAGTCATTATTTTCAAAATTTTGCTTTGTGATTTCATTCTTGCGTGCTATGCTTCTAGCTGAGATAATATACATTCATGATTCTGAACCCGGAGTGACTGTATCTTCTAGAGGACATTCTTGGAATGTTTGGAGACAGTTTTGATTGCCATGACTGGGGAAGCTGCTGCTTGCATCTAGTGGGTAGTGGCCAGGGAAGCTGCTCAATATGCTTTAATGCCCAGGACAACTCCCCACAGCAAAGAATTAGCCAGTGCAAAAATTTCAGTGGTGCTGAGGTTAAGAAACGCTGGTATAATTTCCAGTGTTTTCTTTTAGTACTTTGCTATGTAACTCTATTTATTTTTTTCTAAATCCTAACCACTAGCCCAACAGAGAATGTAACTTTATTTACTCTGGTGGATTATTTAAGGTAGTATTTATTTATGTAAGTTAACTGAGTGTCAAGTACACTTCCTAAATAGCCATCCCTTTCATAACTGATTTGAAGTGTCACTTTTATTGTATAAGATTATATACTTTTATATCATAAATTAGTAAAAATATATAAAGTTTTATATACTGAGTTCATAAAATATTCAAATATATACCTATATGTCCATCTATTTTGAGGCCATTTGTCTTAGCTACCTTTCTGTCTATTTTCCCACTGTAACTATGTTGTTTTTAATTTGTGTCTTTATCTTATATTTTCAGATCTGATAACAAAAGCCCTGATTTGTGTATACTTTGACTCAAAAAGTAAGTGGATGGCAGAGAAATAAAGTCAAAAGTGCAATGACAGACTGAAAATATTTATAAAACATATCACAGATAAGGAGCGAATATCTCTAACATACAAGCAGCTTTTTAAAAGTAAGGACCCAAGACCATCCTGGCTAACATGGTGAAACCCTGTTTCTACTAAAAGTAAAAAAGAAAAAATTAGCTGGGTGTGGTGGCATGCACTTGTAGTCTCAGCTACTCGGGAGGCTGAGGCAGGAGAATCGCTTGAACCCAGAAGGTGGAGGTTGCAGTGAGCTGAGATTGCAACCCTGCACTCCAGCCTGGCAACAGAGTGAGACTCCGTCTCAAAAAGAAAAAAAAAAGGACTAAAAATGTTGCAGAAAAACAGGCAAAATATATGAAAAATCAATTAACTAATAAGATGCGCAATGGTTTTTAAACCTATGAAAAGATGTTCAACTTCTCTCCTCATAAGAGAAATGCCAATTAAAATTACACTAAGATACCATTTCTCACCTAACACATTGATTAAAAATTCAGAAGCTTGACATCACACTCAGTTGATAAGGCTATGGGGTAAAAGGCATCCTTGTCCATAGCTGGTGAGAATACAGCATGATACAAAAACCCCTGTGGTGGGGAATTTGGCAGTATCAAGCCAAATGACATGCATTTATTCCTCTACCCAGCAATCCTGTATCTAGGAATTTAACCTGAAGACATTCCTCCAACAATACAAAAGTACACACTTATAAGGTTATTCAGTGCAGCATTATTTGTCTTTGCAAAATATTGGAACTCATCTAAATGCTCAAATATAGGAGGCTGAAAGAATAAATTATGGGACACACACTTCCTGGTACTATACAAAAGAGAATGAGAATAATGAGTCCAAAGAATGGATATGAAATGACTTTCAAGGATATATTGGTAAGTTAAAAAAAAGCAAAGTGCAAAAAAAGTTTATACAGTATACTTTTTAAGAAGAAAGAAAAAAATAGTGCATATGTTTTCTGTTTATTTTTGTTACCAAAAATAAAAAATAAAAAGAAGCACAAGAAAAACCAGAAAAAATGAAACTGGTTACTTACTGGAGCTAGGGACAAGGGAGGAAATGACACCTCTCTAAGTATACCTTGCCACAGAGTTTTGATTTCAAGGATGTACGCTAATGTGCCACACATTTTAAAAATTAGGTTGACAAGAATTTTTTATTTTATCACATTTTAGGTTTTGGGGTACATGTGAAGAACATGCAAGATTGCTGCATAGGTACACACGTGGCAGTGTGATTTGCTGTCTTCCTCCCCTTCACCTATATCTGGCATTTCTCCCCACGCTATCTCTCCCCAACTCCCCACCCCCTGCTGTCCCTCCCCTATTGCCCCTCAACAGACCCCAGTGTGTGCTGCTCCCCCCGTGTCTGCGTGTTCTCATTGTTCAACACATGCCTATGAGTGAGAACATGTGGTGTTTGATTTTCTGTTCTTGTGTCAGTTTGCTGAGAATGATGGTTTCCAGGTTCATCCATCCCTACAAAGCACACGAACTCATCATTTTTGATGGCTGCATAATATTCCATGGTGTATATGTGCCACATTTTCCCTGTCCAGTCTATCATCGATGGGCATTTGGGTTGGCTCCAGGTCTTTGCTATTGTAAACTGTGCTGCAATGAACATTCGTGTGCATGGGTTCTCACAGTAGAATGATTTACAATCCTTTGGATATATACCCAGTAAAAAGATTGCTGGGTCAAATGGAATTTCTATTTCTAGGTCCTTGAGGAATTGCCACACTGTCTTCCACAATGGTTGAACTAATTTACACTCCCACCAACAGTGTAAAAGTGTTCCTATTTCTCCACATCCTCTCCAGCATCTGTTGTCTTCAGATTTTTTAATGATCACCATTCTGACTGGCGTGAGATGGTATCTCAATGTAGTTTTGATTTGCATTTCTCTAACGACCAGTGATGATGAGCATTTTTTCATAAGTTTGTTGGCCTCATGTATGTCTTTTTTTGTAAAGTGTCTGTTCATATCCTTTGCCCACTTTTGAATGGGCTTGTTTGTGTTTTTCTTGTAAATCTGTTTTAGTTCTTTGTAAATTCTGGATATCAGCCCTTTGTCAGATGGGTAAACTACAAAAATTTTTTCCCATTCTGTTGGTTGCCGATCCACTCTAGTGACTGTTTCTTTTGCCATGCAGAAGCTGTGGAGTTTGATTAGGTCCCATTTGTCTATTTTGGCTTTTGTTGCCAATGCTTTTGGTGTTTTGGTCATGAAGTCCTTGCCTACGCCTATGTTCTGAATGGTTTTGCCTAGATTTTCTTCTAGGGTTTTTATGGTGTTAGGTCTTATGTTTAAGTCTTTAATCCATCTGGAGTTAATTTTAGTGTAAGGTGTCAGGAAGGGGTCCAGTTTCTGCTTTCCACAGGTGGCTAGCCAGTTTTCCCAACACCATTTATTAAACAGGGTATCCTTTCCACATTGCCTGTTTTTGTCCGGTTTGACAAGAATTTTTTAAGATTTAAAAAAAAATTATACTTTAAGTTCTGGGATACATGTGCAGAACATGCATGTTTGTTACATAGGTATATACGTGCCATGGTGGTTTGTGGCATCCACCAACCTGTCATCTACA